CTGGCTAGCACTATGGAAGAAAGAGACTTGGGGGTCATGACTGACCACAAGATGAACATGAGCCTTCAATGTGATGCTGAGGCTAGTAAAGCGACCAAAACGCTGGCTTGCATCCATAGATGCTTCTCAAGCAAATCCCGGGACATCGTTCTCCCCTTGTACTTGGCCTTGGTGAGGCCGCAGCTGGAGTACTGCATCCAGTTTCGGGCCCCACAATTTAAAAAGGATGTGGAGAAGCTTGAGAGAGTCCAGAGAAGAGTCACGCGCATGATTAGAGATCAGAAAAACAGACCTTACAACAACAGGCTGAGAGCTAAGGGGCTCTTTAGCCTGGAAAAGTGCAGGCTCAGGGGTGATCTGATGGCCACCTATAAGTTTATCAGGGGTGACCACTAGTATCTGGGAGAATGTTTGTTCACCAGAGCACCCCAAGGGATGATGAGATTGAATGGTTATAAACTACTGCAAGACCATTTCAGGCTGGACGTAAGGAAGGATTTCTTTACTGTCCAAGCCCCCAAGGCCTGGAATAGCCTGCCATCAGAGGTGGTTCAAGCACCTACACTGAACACCTTCAAGAGAAAATTGGATGCTTATCTTGCTGGGATCCTATGACCCCAGCTGACTTCCTGCCCTTTGGGCAGGGGGCTGGACTCGATGATCTTCCGAGGTCCCTTCCAACCCTAAAGTCTATGAAATCTATGAAAAGGGAAACTCCTCTTAAAAGTATAAGCGTCTTTGGAACTTGAGCCTTGTTAACCTCTTTGGCAACTGCATAGTGTCCCAAGTTCTCCTTTCACTGGAAAACAGTCACCTCCTGAACTTAAATGAGACACATATGAAAAAAAACTAAAAGAGTACACACTCACTGCAGTAAGGCTTTGGTCTTTCTAGTTGGATCTTCCGGTTTGAAATTTTTGTATGCCTCCACTTCATGTTCTATAGAAAGCATTTGGCTCTGAAGTTTGCTCCTGAAGGCTGGCAACGTATCCCGAATGTGATTGGTGAGTTGCTGAAAAAGTTAAATAAAAAATCCTTTATTACTGTGAATACAGATGGCTGTAAAGGATGGACACTTCCTTTTGAATGCCCAACAAAAAACTTATGACCCATGCTAGGCTCTCCAATGTACTTCCCTTTGATCCAACAGGTATATCCATAGGCCAAAACAAAATCCTCTTTTCTTGGCCACATTATATCAAGGCTTGAACAATTTCCTGATCTTCTCAATATGCTGAGCACTAAGAACACTTGTGTAAGTAAGGAGTACTTACTCAGCCATGTCAACAGAAGCCACACACACTTAATTTCCAATGACATTTCTTAGCACTCAGTACTTTAATCCTATATCTCTTGCCAAAAGAAAATGATACCCTCAAGCACTGCTATCCCTCAACCCCATTGCAAAATTACTTTGCTGCTGTCCCCACTCCTCAGCACACAAGAAATCCTCAGTCTTCCAACTCCTCTTCATTTACACCTTCTGCTTCTTTTTGAAAAGGGCCAAAAATGAGGGAGAATGAGGAGTAAAGTTACCTCCCACTCAATGAGGGGAAGGACGTGAACCTGACAGCTTTAGTTACCCAACTCCCCCTCTCTCTCACTCCACCGCCCCCACCCCCCAACATTTTTTTTCTTCTCTTCCCCTCCAGTTTTAGGTTAAGTGTCTCCATCATTCTGTTCCTTTCTCTTTTGCTGTAATCCAGAGAAAAAGCCAGCTTCCAGCCATACTCAACCTATGAACATTTCTACACCCCTACAGACATGAACAAGTACGTTTTTCTACGTATTGTATCATTATCATACATTCAAGTTATCTAGGAGTAAATTAAATGGACCATTACATGGATAAAGGTCTCAAAGCCATCCAAAGTTTGAACATTTTCCTTCTAGCAATCTTCAACCCTACAAAGGTTTTAAGGACCCATTAGATTCCCTCTGGACAACACAGCAAGTCCTGGCTATTCCACTGAAGAGGTGATTCCAAGAGACTCCAAGGACTACATGTGCACTACTGGAAAATCTCCAGTGTAATATTTCTTTTATGCCAGTAGATAGAGCAGTGGTGTTAAACATGCAGCCCTCAAGGCTCCAAAATGTGACTTCTTAGGTCAACTGTGTTAAGATGTGTTGTTTGTATAAGCTGAGAATACAATACCTGAGCTATACGTCCTGCAACTTTTAAACTGGAATGTTTGAAATAACCTTTTTACTACAGAGAGGCAGTAAGGGTCATCTCCCCAACTAACTCCAGTCACTTTTTCCTATAAACCCAAAAGCATCCCTGATAGCTTCCGTCAAGCTAAGTCCCAAGGACAGCAGAATAAGAGCTAAACTTTCCCTGTCTGAGCCTAATAAAGTATCTAACAAAGGGTGGCACCTTCCAACACAAGACAGCATAAAAAAGGGAATGAGATACTGGGAAAGTCACCAGTTACAGTACCTTCTTGCTCAGTCCAGATCAGAATAGCCTGAGAGATTCACTGAATTTGCCATCTGGTAAAAGTCCCAACATGGTAGCTTGAGATAAGCAAATGTCTTAGCCACCCCGCTCCCTATTCCTAGATTAAGGACATAGGGACAGCAAGGTATAGAAACAGACAACGTTCACTCTGGATTCTCACACAGAGGTCCTGCAAGTGCTTTCAGCTCCCTTCATACAAAGAATAGGAAGTGGTAGAAAACCTGCCCCTAAATCATTTTTTGAGACAGCTTGCCCTTTTTTAAATAATACATTTGTTCTTTGGGTTTAGGAAGCAGACCTCCTGCTCTATACTATACAAACTTTTTGTACCAACAATTCTGAAAAAAAAAAAATCTTTCCTTATATCATTTTACCAGTGCTAATCCCACAAGCACTGAAGAGTTTATAAGAGGGAAGCAAAGGGGGAAACACTCACTGAGTGTGTAAGGTTTGACTTTTGTTCATGTACATTTTT